TACAAAGACCAGTGAGGAAAAGCGTGAAGTACCTTACACGAAAGCACAAGAAATTGTGCTGAAAGTTTGAAGGGAATTGCATATTCCACATAGAATGAAGTTCTTCCCCACTGAGATATGAGCTATTGGAAACAATGACATATCAAGCCAAAGAACGACTTTGCAGATTATAAAACAGTACCACGTTTAATGCCATAATAATTTTGCTTCCTAAACGATGACAAATGGGAGCATGTCTAACTATAGTTCTATCAATCTGTCTTCTACCCTGAAGTAGTAAACAGTCCTGCAATAGTAAAAATTAATCCCTCAGATTTCCTTTCCTTATTGCTTGTCAAGTGCATATCTGAGCCAGAGTTTACATGAGGATACAGGGGAAACCCTGACACTGGGCTTCCACTGACAGAACAAGAGCATCACTCCTTAGTTAGAGTGCCACAAACCCAAAAGAACAAATTCTAGATACTGAAATGAAGTGACACAGTGCTTAAGAGAGCTGATCTATCTGCATCAAAAGTCCTTGAGGAATTTATTGTATCATACTACATTTATAAAAGTCACGTTCAAAATGGCCGTCCAAGTCCATAATTATAAGCCAAACACATCTCCATTCTTAATGCTACTACTATATAAAAAAACCCACAAAAGCAAGCTGCCCAGCTCCCCCAGCATTGCTCCGTTCCATATTTCTAATAGACATGGTAGTACACTTACACACTCCTTCTCCCATTTCATGGTTGTTTCTGCCACCATGCCTTGCAATCGTGCCTCCAACCGACGCTTGTCAGAAGCCTGACGCTGCAATTTCTGGCTCTTGCTTTCTAGTTCTTGCTGAAGATTACGCTTGTCTTCTTCATAAATTGTCGCAGTTTTCTCTAAAATCTCAATCTAGAGGAAGAGAGGAAGGACTTGACTACAGTTCTTAGAAGCGCAACCATCTAAGCCCAGAATTGCTAGTTATATCAGACTTAACCCATACTAGAATATATGAGCTGTTGTGCAAATGTACCCAGATAAATAGTCCACATTCCAAAAAGTTTCAGAGATTTTACAACTTTCTTATAAGTTGCCCATCTTAATGTATTAAGAAAAGCCTCAACTCGTAAGAAAGCCAAAAAGCTAAAAAAGCGTTCAGTAAAGTTCCCGAGAAAATACTTTTAATCTTGTTTCTAATATCCATCTTGCAAGCAACTTCTGATGTCAAGAAGCGTACCAAATGGTACATAGAAAACGCATTTTCTGCTTAGCTTCAGACAATGAAAAAACTGACCTTGTATTCCAAAGTTTTAATTTTCTTCTCCAGGCGTTCTAGCTCCATTTTCTGTCCTGCTATTGTTTTCTCTTTTTCAGACAGTTTTCCTTGAATATAGTTTTCCTTGGACACAACACTAGAGTCAAATTCTTGCAGCATTGTTTTAAATGCAAGCACTGAAAAAGAATCGATATATTTTAATCTTCTCACCGTATCTCCATAGTATCAAAAGCAGTTCTGGTTCTCTCCTACCAATTTAACACCACCAGCTATTTCATTACCTCGAAAAAGGTTTTTTAAATGATCAGTCTGGACAAGATACTTATTTCCTGTTGGTACAGGAGAGATCCCCTGAGTAGTAACAAGGGCGCCAAAAAACCTAGCTCCACGCTGATGTTCAAATTCTTACCGTTTTTGGCAAACTCCTCTGACAACATTTGTCGTAGTTTATGGCGTTTTTCCAGGACTTCAATAAGCTTTGGAAGTGTTTGATCATCATTAACATCCAATAGCTCACATGAAGGCAATGGAGGAAAGTTCTGCAAAAACATTTCTGAAACAGATTGCTCTTCTGGTTCTGTAAGATTTAAAGCCAAGACAGTCTGTCAGCAAGCTACAGAAAAGAAAAATTCCATTTGACGATGCACAGCCACAGATCATTCATCCCACAGTATCATGAAGCAGACAGAACTTCGAATAATTAATAAGAACTAGAAGTTTTCAGAAGAGATGACAGTGTTGAGAAAAAGATTAAATGTGACATTCTGGATTCATTGCTTTATAATACCTCCAGGCAACTCTTGATTTCTGAAGTAGGCCCTAAGCATACAAAAAACATCAAAGTATCCTCCTCAGCACAATTTCCTTTCAGGAGCTGCAATAATGGGACCATGAATTCAACTCATCACCAATAACAAAGAATTACTTTGAGGCTTACACAATAACTGGGTTTATACTACAAGTAGCACTGCAGTATGAAAAGGGCAGTACCTCCTGCAGAGAAGGCTCACAACTAACAGTTAAGTGAAGTTCCTTTTGCACTTTCAAGGCTCAAATAATTTCTTTTAAAATTAAAAGCCTTCAAACTCCTAACAGAAAAAAACCTGTGCTGTAATCACCTAGCATTCTGGTATTTACCTCCATTTATTGGGCCACCCCGCATCTCCAATTTCCGTGAGAGTTCCTCTCTGAAGGCTTGATTCCTAAAGCGCCGTCCCGGCGTTAAGCCGCAGAGCGGTCTATCAACAGGTCTGGCAACTTCAACCTCCTGGGTCATTTCTGCAAAGCGCATGACTTGCTACAAAAGAACAAAAGCAAGCTTAACAACAAAACTGACCAGAAGCAGTCCAATGTAAGTTTGAAAGCGACACTTTAGGTCAATAAAAGCATTAGAGGAGACATTATCAAGCTATTATCTCGGGTAGTTCCCAGCTAGAGAGCTTGCGATTCTGAAGCAGAGCATCCAGAAACCTTCCTAGTAACACCTCCCCGACCTCAGCCCCCGAGGAACTATGAAACCGACTGTGCAGAGAGCTGAAGTTCTCGCAAGTACTGCCACAGTATGATCAAGCACCTAAATCCAGACAAGTATTTGGACTTCTGTAAACAAGAGAAACCTTTTCCCGTTTTACAGGCAAGCAGCAGTTGTCGTTTTTAAGAGGCAAAATAAGCCTTGGAGGGCACGTTTGCCTTATAGGTATTATGTTTTGCTACTAGTGTCCAAGCAACAAAAAATATCATTCCTGTCACCTGCTAAAGAAGGACAGTAATTCAGTGATAAACATGAAAAAAGAGTAGGAGGGAATGAGGTAAGATCTGCAAGGAAGTTACCAAGCTTTCCTCGTAGTCCTCAGCTTTAGGATTAACGCACACAATCATACGCACTTTTCCTTCACCATCAAAATAGTTCTTGAAGAGATGAGTCAGTTTGGAATCTCTGTACGGGACCATCTTAAAATAAAGCACATGAAAGATCTAGTAAGCTTTCATTACACCAGATCTTCATCAAATCAAAGATAATTAGATAATAGGTTGCATACCTTATTTGTTCCATACATCTGGTTTTCCCGTAGAACTTCAATACACGTTCTTAATGTCATTAGCGACTGATTAATATTCCCTTAAAAGAAAAAACACAAACTCTGTAAGCAGCCATTTGGATCATGTTCCCAAATTATTCAGCAGTTTACTTAAGAATAAATTGCCTGGACTTAAGTTACAGGTAACTGCTGTAATTAACTGAAGTATCAGAATACATGCTGCTAAAAACTGGTTTCCAAACTGGAGGATTTAAGGTTATCAAGTCAGATGACTGAACATCATCACAGAACACTCCAATTCTTCCTACGATTTCTCTACTAGGAGACAAGACTACTTGAGCACATATGAGCACATCAAATGACCAGGCTGTCTAACGGTGATACATACCTGCTTCTCTCAACCTGTTCCCTTCCGCCTTCGTTCTGTTAGTCCTTTCACTTCCAGCCAGGTCAACTAAAGACAGCTGGCTTAAAATGATCTGTTCTTTCTCCTGTTACAGAAAACAAATGATGTTAGGCTAATGATTAGCTCTATATTCCTTTTAACGAGGTGGGGGGAACACCCCCCCCAGCCTAAACCAGCACACACACTTAAAAAGAATTATGTTGCGCCTTTAAATAAAGTCTGAGGGTGTTTTTATAGCCCTTAACGCAAGAAGCTGCGCACCACTAGCTTTTTTTGTGAATAAGTTTAGTGGATCCTTTCTGTCTTGGGCCACAAGATCGATATAACAACCGCACTCCTTCAAATCCTCCAAGTTTTAGATTCTTAACAGTTTTTGCTCAAAAGAAGCAGAGGGAAGGAACAAAGGAATAAGCAGCTTCGCACTCCATGTTAACGCTCTATTTTCATTACAAAAAGGAGACTAATCCTGTCAAAGACGAGAAATTTAATAATTTTGATTTTCTTCAAAGCGAAATTGCTAGCGAGCAAGCGCGTACGCTCAAGACACGGTAACTGTTTTGGTAGGCCGCGCTGCCAGGTTCACCACCTTTTCTAACCTACAGATCCACGCCTACACGCACACAGTTCTCCTTCAGTAGCCCGCCCCGGAATTCACCTGTAGCACGTTATCTCCATCTGCATCCAGGGGGGCCTGAGCCAACTTTATTATAAAAACACTGTGAGAGCGACTAGATTCTCGATTCAGCTGAGTGTTTGCAATGCGCCTCTTCTTTTGACCTGTTTAGAAGAACAAAATCCCTCCAAAAACCTGTTTTATTTACCAGACTTACCACCTGGCAAAGCCAATTCTGTTTCAGCGTGACAGTGTAAAGGATTACACGTCTGCACTGAATTTAAGAAGTTATATTCTCAGATTTACCTCTCCAAAACACTTCAAAAGCTTCTTCTGTAGATTTCACCTCTACTTCTGTGCATCCTGTGACATACATGTTGTGATTCTGGTCCTCACGAAGTATTTTGGATTGTGGAGGTCTTAAGGACAGGGAGGAAATAAAACAAACAAAAACACTAAAATTGAGTGGCGTTTTCTGTACAACAATACATTGTGTCATGCAAATTTTCTTTTGTTTAAGTACAAAATTCAGACTGAATATGTCAATTATCCATACAGCAGATGGAAGAGGAAGTACAAGTACATGGACACACAGTCAGCCAAGATTAGTTACACTTCAGCTACTGCTTTAATTTAGAAGCTACGTTTAATTGCAATTCTTACTGGAAATCATGGGTTTGGATGGCAGCTATTGTTTTTCTACATGCATACAGAAGCAAGATGGCTTCAACAGCGTTCTATATTTGCTAGTAAAGCAAGAAGAGAGAGGGAGTCAGTCGGAGTTTATTTGCTGCTTCTACTAAAAGAAAATATCACTTTTCAATATTCGGAATAATATGCTTATGCACATACATAAAGTCACCATTTCGCACAGGAGTGTTGCAACTGTTCCACCTACCAAAAAAACAGGGTTAGAAAATATTAAGTCATTCAGCTTGTGTCTAAAACCTTTGTACATATAATACGCTGTAGCTTCCATAAATAGAAATAATCCAAGATTCTTCACAGGCTGATTTTTGGACATAGGCATAATACTAACCCAATAATTCTATTCTTCTTTAAAAAGCCTTGACAGATATTCAAACTCAATTCAAATCAGTACCCTGGAGACAGCTCTTGCTGTTTCAGAGCAATAGCTTGTTTTTCTCTAGTTAGTCTTTGTAAATCAGCCAGCTCTTTAATTAACACACGTACCGATGGATACGCTTAGGGTTTTCTTTAACAGATTTGGAATTTTTAAAAAATATATTCAAAGTTTAATTTGCAGACTGTTTTTCTGACGGTCTCAGGATTTACCAACTTGAGACATCAGCCAAGCACACACCTTTCCAAAAAACACCCAGAATTTCATGTATAAGACAATTCATTTCTGGTTTTATGGAAGTTACTGACGTCAAGTGAAATAACATGCAAACTTGCACTAACTGTAAAGCAACAACAAAATAGCAACTTTTGCCTAATGCACTGTTTCCAGGAGAAAAATGTCAGCTATGGAATGGCTTACTCCTCAAGCTGCAGTCACCTGCTAGGAATGGTACTTGCAGAATAGCATCAATAGACTCGGAATCTCAGTGGGATACAACACGCTGCCTAACAAATTAAATATTTGCTTATTAATCTCCCATTATAAGGGGGAAGGGAGCACTAAGTCTTAGCAGCAACAGAACAACCCTCAGTACTTGGCACACTGAAATACTACTGTCTGGACTCCTCGGGCATCCCCTTTTCCACGGGATTTTTGAAGTGATTTCCATGAATTGAGCCAGACTCGCCAAGACTACAGCCACAAAGACATATTGTAGTTCCCGCAAAAGCATAACCGAAGTAGGAGTAATGGTATTCATCAAACTAACTTTGGTTTTATAGGATCAAAGGGAGCTTCCTCCAAGAGGTCATATATGTAGTTGTTGTAGATCTCGATATAGGAGACAAAGACGCTGTAGACGTTATCTTCATCAACTTCTTCCACTTTGCAGTGATCTTGCACGTTGATCATATCAGCAAATTCTGGATCTATTTGCCGCCTGTTGAATGCACGCAGTAAGAGATTGTGGCGGAGCACCCACAGCCAGCTAACGTGTCAGACAGCGACTATACAATTAAAAAGCAAGTCTACTGACAGAGAGCATAATTCAAGTATGGAAGTGCTCACGCTAGCAACTAACGAAAACACATCCAGTCACATTAGATTAAAAACAGCACTCTGAAAAGTTTAAGTAGATAAACTTTCATCTGACTCTGCTGTACTCGGCTGCAGTAAGAAATGTCTTGCAAAATTCCTGGATAGTCAACATTTCCACCCTCCATTCAGGAATCTCACTATTTTGCAAAACATCCCCAAGTTTAACTTCACAGTATTCCTACTTGGTGAAGTCACAGCGTTTTACTCATGAGTTAGCAGGTACAAAAAATAGACTGCTGTTGCCTGATTCTAAGTCTTCTCATCTAAATACTTAATTATGCAATTGCTCAAACCACACGAAATACACTAGCTTTCCAATAACATTTTTCTTTCCTTTCTTCGAGGGAAGGATGAAGAGACCAAGGTAAGTTAAAGCCACAATTTCAGAATAACATCTATATTAACTAAATTCATTCTGCGTGTTACAATAGCTACTTACTTGCCAGATGGAGTTTTTGGAACCGGCATGGCCTCTCTTTTCTGGCGCTCTAAGAGAGCGTCTACTTCACACTGAACATCCACACCATTCTTGTCATCAAGCTTAAAAACCTGAGCAGTACATATAGTATGTTTAGAAAATATAACGACAAACACTAGAGAACATAAGGTGTTGGCCAGCAAAACAAATTATTTGATCAAGCTGCCTGGCAACTTTCAAATACCATGCCACTCACTAACACTCGATCTGCTGGCTAATGCAAAGAAAACAGATACTTCCAAGATAACAATACTTCATAAAAGCTCCTAAGCTAGCATGCTACCAAGGAAAAGACTTTCGGTATTATTTCAAATATATTTAGATACCAAAACTTCAGAGATGTTTGACCACAAGAGAAGCCTCACATCATGTCCTATATTATTTTAGATATGGTTTCCTGTGGCTTTTGTATCTTGTGGCTGGATTTCATTCCATAACTCAGAAAGCTTCCTCTTTCCTTTTTTTATTGTTTTAAAAAAGTTAATTAAAGAATGAGCGACAATTATAAAGATAGCCAGACCATACACCTTCATGAAATGTCCATCCTAGCTACCACGCCTGCATCCTTGGCCCTGCTCTTCACATCTCAAGGGGGTGGGATCTTTTCAGTTGGTTTTCTTTTCAAAGTGTTCCAGCCACATGACTAGACACTTTAAACACTTGGAACAGAAGCTTTTTTTCCTAGTGTTTTTAGGCTGTTACAAGCACCAGCATGGAGAATTCAGTGCAAAGCTACTCACAAATCGCTTGGCCTGGAACGGTCCTATGCTGTTGAAGATCATATCCAAACACCGCGGGAGAAGTCCTCCGTCACCAGGAGATCCCGTCATGGTGTGTGTTTTCCCGCTGCCTGTCACGCCATATGTAAAAAGGAGACCTAGGAGGGACAGGGAAGTTACGTAGTCACGCTTGCTGTCTCAAAAAAAAGCGCAGTTACAATCACGCCCTGTCTTTCTTGGGTCAAATCTATTTGGAAAAAACAATGACTCCTTTTGAACAGTTAACAGTAAACTATTCCAGCCCATCAAAAGCCGCTGCCATCACTAGCGTTTGCATCTCTCATTGACAGCCACTTCAACTACAACTAACAGCGCCTGTCATCCTCTCTGGGGACAGCGCACTCGGAAGCCAAAATGGAAGGAAGCCACTAAGCCCCAGGTGTAGAGGGCTGATGCGTTATGACTGTTACTGAGAGTCCAACCTAAGCCGGACAGTTCAGGAACCAACACCCTAACATCAAACCATGCCCTACAAATTGATTTATTTCTGTAGTCATTCTTTAGGTGGATAAGTCATCCCTTTCTGCAGAAAAAAGCTTCTCCAGTTAATGATGTACAGAAAGATTAGACCTTTACACAAATAACGTACGCATCATAACAAAGGTAAAGAGGTTTAGAAGTAATGAAAGGCAAGAAGTGCTTCCAAGGATGTTGTGTAGGGGAGCTATTCTCATTGCAAATAAGGTATACATGTTTTTACCTAGCTGAGCTAAGAAACCTTGAGACATATGAAATCATAGCAATATAAAAAACCTGCATGGTAGACACACAGAAAAGTGGTGGAGAACAAGTACTCACCATTTTTCCCACGAATGAGATCTTCCACTAGAGGTTTAGCCACCACATCAAAAAGCTCCTTCTGAACAACGAGTGTGCCAAACACTTCTTTAAATGAATACTGCGTCTGAGGAAAAGAAGATACACCGTCCTAAACCTTAAGTTTCCCTGTCCGGAAGTTCATTGCTTCAAAACGCTTCATTGCCTCATACCCTAGAGCCACTTTCCATCAGCTTACCAGAAGGATAAAGATTCTACTTTGGATTATACCAGCGTTTGAACATGGGCAGTTGCTCCAATATAACTATTCTGAGAGTAAGATGCGCATAATGAAGAACAGCAACCGTCTCGTCTTCACAGAGCTCCAGTCCAGAAGTCACCAGAAAAATCAAAAGCCTGACCTCCCCGCAACCAGAGAATCTCACAATTCACAGCTTCAAGCTCAAATTCCTGCTTGAGCTCAACCATCACCTACGCAAGCACTGAGCAAAGGAACACCCACAACGCCCAAAGTCGAGTTGTTTCAGCATTTAATCATTTTGTTTCAAGCCCCTGCCTTTTTCCAGTCTACCTTCATTTTCCAGTCATAGGTTTTCAATATGCTTTTTTTTTTTTTAATTTTGATTAATCTGGTCACTTTTCAATCAAAACACCTGCTTACGTAAACATTGGTTTTGCACAAAGGTTTGTTTACCAAGCTTTTAATTAATCTTTGCCTATTTTATTTAAGCCTTTGAAGATCACTTTCTGTACTTCCTATAAGAATTTCCCGTACTGAAATCAGAAACAAAGTATTCTACATCCCAGCTAACATCTTTTTTTTTTTTCTTGGAAACACCATGACCTTGTCTTATTTAGAGCTACAGCACTGTGCTGGGAACCTGCAGTTAACCGTTCCACTACCAAATCACGTTCAGTGCTACAGCACTCTGGCTCCTCATTCTGTTTGCGTGACCTAAACCCTCCTGTTCCAGGAAACACTTGTATTGATCAAGCAACAACACAAACCACTTTGTGATCCGCTACCTACTTTTCCACACTTCATGACATTTCGCCACTTTGTATACATAACCCACAGCTTTCCCTCCATACACATTATAGGGAACACTGTTTTTTTACCCAACTTATAGAATTATAGAATCGTTAAGGTTGGAAAAGACCCTTAAGATCATCGAGTCCAACCGTTAACTCAGCACTGCCAAGGCCACCACTAAACCATGTCCCTAAGCACCACATCTACCCGTCCTTTAAATACCTCCAGGGATGGTGACTCAGCCCCTGCCCTGGGCAGCCTGGGCCGGGGCCTGACAGCCCTTTCGGTGAAGAAGTTTTTCCTAATATCCAACCTAAACCTCCCCTGGCGCAGCTTGAGGCCGTTCCCTCTTGTCCTATCACTTGTTCCTGGGGAGAAGAGACCGACCCCCACCTGGCTCCAGCCTCCTTTCAGGCAGTTGTACAGAGCAATAAGGTCTCCCCTCAGCCTCCTCTTCTCCAGACTAAACAACCCCAGTTCCCTCAGCCGCTCCTCATAAGACTTGTGCTCCAGACCCTTCACCAGCTTTGTTGCCCTTCTCTGGCAAAGTTAAGTTTGGGAAAAAAAACTTAACTTTGGGATAAATGAACTGTTAATTCAGTTGCCACTGGTTTAGCTTAGAGCTGGTTTCTTTCAAGTAGTCCTACATGAAAAAGTTCTTCAAGCAGTCTAAATGCTTGCCAGCTTTGCTTTTGTTCCTTTTACCCTCCTCCTCCACCCTGCAGAAGCCTTTTCATATACAGAGAATATATGTGATGGCTAAGGGTGCATTTTTGCTCTAGCTAGTTTGCTGGTTTTGAAAATTCTCTTTTCTAAAAGTGCAAACTGCCGATTTGCACGTTGCAAGAGACACCGCGAGCCAAGGGAAAACATCGACAGCAGGGAAAAGGCCCCCGATCCCTCATGCCGGGCTGGAAGGCAGCCCCGCCAGCCCAGCCCAGCTCCGAGGCAGGGGGCACAGGCACGGACGTCCCCGCCGCCCCCCCGGCCGTTACCTCCCGGTACTCCCCGTTGCGGAATATCCTGTATCCGTCGGGCGGGTGGATCTGCACCGTGGTCTCGTTGATCACCTCGATGCAGCACTCCTGGTCGGGCCGGCTGAGCGGCCGCACCCTGCAGTACACCTGGGGAAGGGGAAGGCGGTGACACCGGGCCGGCGCCCCTCAGAGCGGCCCCGGCCCGGTTCCCCCTCACCGCGGGGGGGGGACGGGGGACGGGACGACCACGGCCGCGGCCCCTCGCCCCAGCACTCACCCCCACGGGATCCTTCAGGCCGGGGTTGGACGGCTTCTTCAGCGCCGGCCTCCGCGGCGTCTTGGCCCTACTGGGAGAAGGAGGGAGGCCTGAGGGGCGGCCCGGCAGCCACGCCCCACCGGGCCGGGGCGGACGGCGGCGGCCGAAGGGGGCCCTGCCTGCCCCGCGGCCGGATGAGGGGAGAGGGGGGAGCGACTTACACCGCCTTCATGTCGCAAGGCGTCCCGGGATATCGCGATCGAGGCGGGCGCTGGCGGGCGCTGCCGCCCGGGCTCCGCGTTACCTCCGACCGGCGGCTCCGCGCGCGCTCCGCTGCGATTCAAATCTAACCAATCAGCG